AATTTACATCATAAGGATTATCTAAAACCAGAGGCTCTCTGGGTATCTCCAATTTATCAATTTCGTTCCGATTAATAGATCCACGCCGGCAATGGGAAAAGGTTTATCTGAAAGTCCCACATTGATCCCCGCCTACATATCCAGGCAGTTCTACATAAATCCCTTTTATAGGGACCTTTATTATTGTGCCTCCGTAAGCCTTAATAATACGTCTAGCCGGGGTTCACTACTAGTAGGTAACTTTACCAGGTTTGATCTTAATAAAGAGAGATAGCTGCCAGTATCTCAAAAGGTAGTGATATTTACTAACCTCTCTTTACAGAGTCCGAACTTCCCCTGGGAAAAGTAGGGTTCCATAGCTACTCGGACCTTTTCTTCTGAAGCACTGTCGTGGTAAAGTCATCTATTAGACGGTCTGCTAGATGAGGCCTGAAAAGGTAGAGATTCATCATCCAGAGTTTCATACTTCCGAGAGGAATTTATTACCTGGGTAGGATATCTCCCTCTTGGTTGGGTTTTATCTTCCCGCTGTTTATGCCAACACTGGAACTGTCTATGACCTAACTTCTTACCAAAAAGGCACAGTGGTAATTGATCTTTAGGATACTGTCTGGAGAAAGAGCCGTTTGTCACCTGTTTTTTGTCTGAATACACCTTCAAAGGTTCGCCAGCTGGAGCTTTCCTAGCAGTCAATCTTGAACTAAAACCTTGGGAGGTAGATTTCTTTTCCGGGGTCTTAGACATTTCTGTGGTTATAGCATGGGAAATTTCAAAGTGATCGGCGTGGGCAGCAGTATCTAACAAGTTAGTAGTAGGAAATGTCAAAAGATAAGTATGAACCCTCTCTGGAAAATATTTAAAAAGGTCTTCATGCAACATCAGCTGGAAAAGTGACTCGACTGAGGCGGCTCCCGCGGCCCTACGTTATGCAACAGTTCAAGCGATCTCGGACATACAATGCCACCCCACCCCCCTTCCCGATACTTCTATCTACTTGGAACAATTTAAAACCCTGAATGTGACATTCTGCAGGCATGTCCCGACTTTTTGAATTAAACCACGTCTCAGTAATGGCAAATACATCTATGTTACCTGCACTAGCAACTAGTCTCAACTCGTCCATCTTATTCCTAGCACTGCGACTATTTGTGTAATAAATATTTAATGACCCTCCTATCTCTTTACCCTTCCTGCTCCTTTCTGTTATTCCACTAAACCTATTACTGTCATTGTCAATTAGTGCCACTGGCTTTCCAATATCCTCCTCATTTTGCCTATTACTAGTTCTCCTAGTACTCATGTTACTACCCTGCGACTTCACAGTTTTCCCGCCAAAACCCATACCACTAACTATTCCTAGTTTAAAGACCTAACAGCTCCCTCCACTGCGTTGGCCAGTGCTCCCACCCCACACCTAGACAAGTGAACCCCATCCCTGGCATACATGTCATTTCTGCCATAGAAGAGGTCCCAGTTGTCAATGAATGTTATCGCATTTTCCTTACAGTATTTGTCCAGCCAGCAATTGACACCAATTGCTCTGGACAACCATTCATTTCCAACTCCTCTCCTTGGCAAAATGCCACATATGACAGGTTTCCCACCCTTCTTCCTAATTATCTCTATTGCTGACCTATACCTGCTAATCAGGTCCTCACTCCTACGTCTGCCAACATCGTTGCCTCCAGCACTGAGACAGATAATAGGATTGCTCCCATTACCTCTCATGATGTCATCCAGACGGCTAACAATATCCTTCATCCCAGCCCCAGGAAAACATACTCTCTGCCTCCTACTCCTATCCTTCAAACAGAATGCCCTATCCATGTACCTAATCTGGCTATCCCCAACAACAACAATGTTTTTACCTTCCTTTGCGTCGTCCGTAGTGATGCTCCGAGTAGTCGACTCACATTCGCCAGGTAGCATTACACCACTTGTAGAATTCGTCATGACGTTCTCGATGGTCTTCGTTGGGGTTTCTAGGGATGTCTCACTCACGTCTGCCAATGCTTCCTTGGTGCTCGTTGTGGCATTCCCAGTAGAACACTCACATTCGTCAGGTAGCACAGAGAATGAGTTGGAAGTTTCCACGGCAGTCTTCTGGTTTCTCGTTGTTTCTGCCTCTCCAACCGTTTTCTTAATCTTCAGCTTGGTTCCATGTTGCCCGGCCACTGACCAAGCTCCCCTCTTAACCTGGGGACTCACAACAGGTGGATTACTACGAATCCTCTTGTTCTCCTCCGTTAATCGCCGTATCTCCAGTTTAGCAACTCTGAGTTCTTCTCTCAGCTGCTGGTAAAGCTGCTCAAGAGAGGGCATCCTGGTTCAGATTCACAGAGAGCACACAAACAGGTCTTCACAGAGCTAAGTACACGTCACCACTGGAGCTAAGTACACGTCACCACTGAGCTAAGTACACGTCACCACTGGTGCTGGAGTTATTGAAGGAAGAACAAGGTTAGTGTTGGGAGCACAGTGTGGGGTGGTTCACGAGTGGTGCAGGAAATAAGTTTCAGGTGGATGTGTAGTGCGTGTGAGACGGAGCAGTCACGTCTCCTCAAGGTGGGGAGCTAGTAAGCCGCAGGTAAATTGTTTATGACACTTCGGGTGCAGCTCCAGGTGTTTGCTTGTGCTAGTACATGATATTTGTGTATTAATGTTGATAGGATTACCGACAATATGTTAAGTAAAAGGGCACAAGTGCAACTAATGTGACATTTTATTGTGGCAACGTTTCACTCTCCAGGAGTTTGATCAAGCTTCTGGAGAGCGAAACGTTGCCACAATAAAATGTCACATTAGTTGAACTTGTGTTCTTTTAAGAACATAAGAACATAAGAACGAAGGAACACTGCAGCAGGCCTACTGGCCCATGCGAGGCAGGTCCAAGTCTCCTACCGGCTTAAGACAATGCACCCAACCTAGTCAGGTCAGGTCACCTTGACTTAAGGGAGGAACACGGCAACCGTCCTGGTAGCACAAGCTAATCAGGTCCAACTCACACCCACCCACACCCACTCATGTATTTATCCAACCTATTTTTAAAGCTACACAACGTTCTGGCCTCTAGGACCGTACTTGGGAGTTTGTTCCACTCATCCACAACTCTATTACCAAACCAGTACTTTCCTATATCCTTCCTGAATCTGAATTTTTCTAACTTAAAACCATTGCTGCGAGTCCTGTCTAGGCAAGATATTTTCAGCACACTATTTACATCCCCTTTATTTATTCCTGTCTTCCATTTATACACCTCAATCATATCCACCCTAATTCTACTTTTTTCTAGAGAGTGCAGATTCAGGGCCCTTAGTTATCCTCATAGGGAAGGTTTCTGATACATGGGATCAACTTTGTCATCCTCCTTTGTACATTTTCCAGAGCATTTATATCCATTCTGTAATACGGTGACTTAACATGAAAATTGTGCATGATGGCTTGCTGATAGATGATGACCCTGTCCCTGGTGTCCTGATCAAAATTTATCTGACGGCTTGTTTTAGTGTCATCGGCAAACTTGCTAATATCATTATTTATTTCCTCATCTATGTCGTTAAGTTCCTCCTTATATTCCTTGATAACTCTTGAGAACAGTTCATAACAGTCTGGAGATTTGTTTGGGTATAATCTGAGAACCTGAGAGCCAAGTCACTTGTTACTTTGATCGTTCATAACTTATCTTCGTCTCGACCAATATATATTTTTTTTATTTCTGGAATTTCGCAGGTATATTCTTGCATAAAAACCGAGAGGACATAAGTGTTGTAGAATATATACATTTCTTTGTCACTAGCAGTAAGCTGACATAAGCAACTCTTAAGTAAGTCTGTCTTCTCCCTGATCTTACTTTATACCTGAAAGAAACCTTATGGGTTGGACTTTAATTTTCTTGCAATTTCGTAATCATTTTTGGCTTTTTTTTTTTTGTAAATATCTTGAATGCTTTAGTATCTCTCTCCTATTTTGTATTGCCTGTGAAAGCCTCTCGACCTACGAGATGTTTTAATCTATTGTTTATCCATATAGTGTCATTTTTGGTTGATCTAATTTTCCTATTTGGAACATGTGTTGCCTGGGCAGCTTGAACTATGCTTTGAAGAATGTCATATTGGCAACCATCTCCTACCTGACCCACAGGATAATCACCTGTCAGGTCACTCCAGTTAATTCCACTTTGATAATCCCTCGGCCCCACGAAAATCAGGGACCTTGACTTGATTAGAGTTAAGGCAATTCCATGATATATTGAAACTGAGTGATTTGTGATCGCTTTCCCCAAGCTCATCATTACCTCGAGATTGTTAGTTAGAGATGCCTTGTTAGCAAGAACCAAGATTCCTTGTTAGCATGCATCCTATTTCTTCTAGCTAGTTTTGTCACAAACTGTTTTAAAAAATAATCCTGGGCCATATCTAGAAAGTCACTAGACTCAAGATATTCTGTCAAATTATTCCAATTAATTTGGCTAAAGTTAAAAATTTTCCATTAAATCAACATTTTTGTGTCTACACTCCTTTGTAATTTCATCCTTAGAAGTTTACCGTGTTCTCTGTTGAGGGCCTGTAAACCACACCTAAGATTAGCTTTTCACGTCCCTCGAGAATCTTCAGCCAGATAGATTCAGTGTCCGTCATTTCCATTTTTATAATTTATGTAATACAACAGTTTAAATGATCTCTTACATTTCATTGTCATTCCACCACCCTTCCTTTTGATCCTATGGGTGTGGAATAATTTATAGCCTTGTATGTGGTATTCAGAAGGCATCTCTCTTTCAGGTTGAACCAGATCTCTGTCATAGTAATAATATTTGTAATTCGTGCACATGCAATTAATCTTTTCTCATTTATGTTTCTCTAGCGCTCCTACTATTAGTATAGTAGACCTTTAAGGGAGTCACTTGCCTCCCTCCCTGACCAGTTTCTTTGCTTTTATTGGTGGTGGTGTTGCAGGCTGGAGTGGATGTTAGTGTTCTAATGTTGGTTTTCTTGTTGCAGGCTGGAGTGGGTGGAGATCATCGAGCCGAGCTCCAGGAACATCATGTATGCCAACCTCACCACCGGCCAGTGTGTGTGGGACCCTCCTCCCGGCGTCCATGTGTGAGTACTTCTTCACCATCTCTTGTGTTACATTTTTGCTATGTGGATCTGTACCTGACTACCACACTAAGTTACATAACGCCACAAATGATGCAGTTGAAGCTTACACAGTTAAAATTGAAAATCTGAATCTGTTTATTGTACCAGTTTATATACTACCAGATACAACTTACCAGCCGTTTAAAGACCCGCTGTTGAAAATTAAATATTGTTTTAAAAATCTTTCAACCCCAGCCCCAAATATACTATTGCTGGATGCTTTTAATTAATACATATACAGTAAAATGGAAGAATGGAAAATAGTGTAATAGCGGAGAATGCCCAGGAGATAGTTCAGATGAGGTCTCAGTGATTTTGTCATAATTATCTCATAGTTGTGACAACCAAGATCTTCTTGCTCTAACTCCATGTTGACTTGGGTTGTGCAAGTCATGATTTTTCATAAAATAAGTTTCCTTTCCAAGACTTGCGTGTCATGCTGGTGCTAATACTCTGTTTTTCTCTCGTCGCTCTGCTGCCTCCTGTGAAAAAGTACCGAGGGGCTCTTGATCCAAGGAACTGGACTTATCCCTTTCTTGAATCGAACCTGAATACCTCCTAACCTCCAGGCAATATATGACCCCTAGGGGTTTAGTGCTTCCCCCTGATTATAAAAAAATCATAATTTAGGGCCTTCAATTTCGTCTGACTCAGAGCTGCTGTTCCAGAGAAGACAGTACTTTTGTTAACAGTACTCGGCACTTCTTTATAAATACAGAATTGTTGGACTCAGGTGCTTGTGTTGCGTGCTTGTCCATGTTGTCTTTTTCAGTCTTCGAAGGATTTGTGCTAACGTTTTCCACGTTCTCTTTCTGTTTAATCTCCCAGGCTTTCACAGCTGGATATATTGTAAACGGATCTTGTATTCTTCTTTATTCAGCTTTCCCATACCCTGTTTTAGGTTAGGAATGCCCAGGACATTTCTTTACGAATATTTTCATAAATAATTATTTTATCCCAGTGTAAGTTCTCGTTGAAAATATATTTACTAAACATCTTCCATTGATTATCTATCGTTTAGGTTACTGACTTATGAATTTAAGTTGTTTGTACGTCAGTGAGGCAAGCGTCAGTACCTCCCAGTACCAGGCGCTGTATGACCCTTACGGAGCTTCAACACTCCCTAATGAATATAATGATAATATTGCAACGACAGCTGGCAGGAAAGTGAGGAGAAAGTTGCACCAGTTGTCAACAGTTGTCATTACCTTAATTATTAGCACCTAGAAAATATGTGAAAATCGTCGAGGTAATTGCCTCCCTTTAATTATAAAGGGAGGCTGTGGATGCGCCTTGAACCCTTGTAGCACTTAAGAGTTAATGTGTGACGTCATTATTTTAGTCCTGTATATTTTGGGTATTTATTTTCACCTTCCTTCTAGAGGAGTACATTAATGCCAGTGAAGGACTCGAGGACCACATCCTCTTAAAGTCAACTCCGATTTCTTACATAAATCGAGGAACGATACAAAAAGTTTTGCCGATACCGATACTCGATTTTAGGCCGATACCGATACTTTTTCAATATCTTTTCACTTTTAAAATAATGATAACTTTGTTCATTACAATATGTATTAATTCCCCAAGGAGGTTAAATATTATATAGCTTTATTTTTCTGAGATAACAATGTCATTATTCATTACTAATTATAGTCACTCACGCGAGGCTACAAACTGGAAAAAAAAGACAGCATTAAATTTCTGAATCTGTATATTTAGGAGCAGGGGTGCGGTTGGGACAATAAGGGAACACTGTATCAACATCCGGGGTTCCAAACTATTCAACATCTTACTAGAAGATATCAGAAATACAGCTGGAACAAGTATAGAAGCCTTCAAGAGAAAACTGGACAAGTATCTTCACCAGATGACATCAGCCAAGCTGTGATGGATATGTGGGGAAGCGGGCCTCCAGCAGTAACAGCATGGTTGACCAGGCTAGAACCAGATGAGCCTGGCCTATGGCCGGGCTGCGAGAGTAGCAAGACTCTCGAAACTCATCAAAGGTAAAGGGTAATAAGGCCCTTGCCATATTGTCTATTTCTGTTCTCATGATTGTGGTAATACAAGTACCAGTACATTTGCTTTTGGATGCTGTTTATTGTGATTTTGAAAAGGATCCTGAGGCAGATGTCTTAACGTGCTGTTGTTGGGAATGCTGGTTACAATGTCTTCATAACATTTATTAAATCAAACTCGACGAGTTCTTTAATCCCAGCTACATCATCTTACTTTCTTTGTCAGACTCGTTGCTGCTTTATAATAATGGTATACAATACCGACAAGTAGAGAACCCGCAGTAATGGATTTAAATTAGATAAGTTTAGATTTAGAAAGGACATAGGAAAGTATTGGTTTGGAAATAGGGTAGTTGATGAGTGGAACAGTCTACCAAGTAGAGAGAACCCGCAGTAATGGATTTAAATTAGATAAGTTTAGATTTAGAAAGGACATAGGAAAGTATTGGTTTGGAAATAGGGTAGTTGATGAGTGGAACAGTCTACCTAGTTGGGTTATTGAGGCTAGGACTTTGGGTAGTTTCAAATCTAGGTTGGATAAGTACATGAGTGGGAAGGGTTGGATTTGAGTGGGACTTTCACATCAGAGCTTATTTCTTGGGTAGCATTGAAAATTGGGTTGGGTAAATGTTTTGTTAGTGGGATGAATTGTAAAGGACCTGCCTAGTATGGGCCAGCAGGCCTCCTGCAGTGTTCCTCCTTTCTTATGTTCTTATGTTAACAGTTAGGTGTCTTTATTTCTGAAACGTTTCATTTCGCCAACACATTAGGCTTCTTCAGTCGAATATAGAGGTGACTATGGAGGCAGAAGAAACAGTTGAGAGGTAAAAATGCCATGCTCAATTCAACAGTATTGAAGTAGAAGTTTTGAGGTGATCAGTCCCTCAGCTATGAAGGATGTTGATACAGTGTTCTCTTATTGTGCCCACGACGCCCATATTTTTCATTGGATTCATTGTGCACATCCTCCCATATCTCTCACTCTAGTAGGCACAATTAGAAATCAGCCAGGTTAAGATGACTGTGTGAGCCTGCAAATCATGAATAGCGATAGTCTGGCTGATCAAGTAGTCACCATGGAAACCTGACTTGATGGGTATAATCAGAGGTGTGCCTCACACCTGGAACTGACACGCCCACCACCACCACCACCACCACCACCACCACCACCACCACCACCACTACCACCACCACCACCACCACCACCACCACCACCACCACCACCACCACCACCACCACCACCACCACCACTACCACCACCACCACCACCACCACCACCACCACCACCACCACCACCACTACCACTACCTGTCTAGGTAGCATCACTCACAAATAAATATTGCTTCACCGTGTTCCTCGCCTGCTTTGTGTTCTTCACTCTTGAGAGTGAAGTTATTCTTTGCGGCTACAAAAGTTGTCAGTAGGAAAGTGATGTAACTTGGGGGGGATGGAATATCGTTAATGGAATCACTAATGAACCGGAATTCCGTGGCAAAATTTATTAAAATGAACTCTGAATCTCTATTTTTTTGCTCAATTTATTTTTAAGATTTCTTAAAATTGCTAGTAGTTTGGTGTAGAGCAATAGAGTTTGCACACGCTATGTATGTACCTACCTTGAAGACTTCCGGGATCCATCTTGATATGTCTTCAAGAGAGAACTTGATAAGTGCTTAAAGCAAGTTCCTGATTAGCCTGGTTGTGGAGTCCGATCACTGAGCAGGCCGCCTGGCTGACGACACATAAGACGGACTCTCCTGCATCTAGCAACCATTAGACCACTATAACGTAGGTTCCGGATGCACTGGAACACCTGTAAGTATAGACAGAAGAAAGCTAGCTTAATATACACAGCCGATTATGGTGCAATAACGCATAAAAATGGACAGGTGAATCTTCAGTTTTCTAGCAAATCAAACCCAAAGAGTAATAGCGTCCACTTGGTGGCCCATCACCAGGCAGTCAATAATTTCGGCAACCTAATGAAATATATTTTTCTTGTAGTTCCATTTACCTCCCCTCCCTTCACCCCCCCTCTCCTAATTATCTGTAGAATATCTCATATAAGTTGGGGGGTTGGTGACCGTCCCTGCGGCCCGGTCCATAGCCAGGTTTTTAGTGCTGGTCGCATACAGACCACATAGTCACCACAGTCTGGCTGATTTAGGAACTAGAACTTATCAAGTTACCTCTTTAAGACAACTTGGGGGTCTGTTGGAAATTCTACTTAAGTATGATGAGTGTTTGTTGAAAATTCTTGATCCCTTTACACTTTAGAGTTCTCTCTTAATTGTATTCATCCCTCCTCTGGTTCTCAGTGGAGATATTGTGCACCGTCTGCCAAGCCTCAGGCTGTCGAGGGAAGAATTTTTTGTGTTCAGATTTGGGGCCAATTCGTCCAGAATTTTCCTCGGGTAAATTAGGATGTGTTTTTCTAGCTTACGTTCCAAGGAGTACAGTCCAGTGATTTCAAACATTCCCAGTAATTTAGGCACTTAACTGATTTTATATGTGCATTCTCTACATAGGCATATTCGCTCGCCTTAATTATGATAATAAAATCGACAAGGGTCATGCAGTCGCTTGTCTTAAAAAGTGTTGTTAGTGTACAACAGTATTCCAGACTGGATAAAACAAGTGGCTTGGCATGTCTTCTTTTGAAAGGTCAAGTTATCTTGTCTATCATTTTTCTTGCGGCTGTCATAACATTGTTGTTATCCTTGAATGTGAGATCTGATATTTTCACTTAAAAGTCTTTCGCATCAAACTTTCACTCCATTGTGTGATTAAGTTTATTTTATATTCCATAACGGAGTAACTGAAACATGTTCTCAATGGACATATTGTTTTTGTGGGTCACAGAAAGGCTGGGTGTTATCAGCTTGGAGGTTTGTTGTCTTCAGTTTATGTCAGTCTCATACAACTTTTAGTATCGTCTGGTTC